CAGTTTTTTGTTTAAAAAAGCTGTATGACAGCAAGTGAATAAAGAGAATCTAAGAAGAAAAGATTGACAATCTTTTAGAGAAGATTCGTGAGGACAACTCTGAACAGCTGTTTCTAACCGCTAGAAGGAGGGATGTATGCATGACAAGAAGTGAAAGAAGAGGAAATGACTGATTTGAAGAAGAATTGTCTTCATTAATTCAAGCTTGAAAGGGTGATGTATGTTCTTTGTTTAAAGAAATTAGGATGAGGAGGGGATTGAAGCGAATTCAAAACAATAGTAAAAGGATATGGAATTGGAAATTGATTCATCGTCTAAATCTGAATAGATGATAGATTCCTACAAAATGGATAATTCAGGAAGATGGCAGATGTATTGATCTAATAGAAATGACAAAATTGATGAATGTATCTAAATGGAGAGAATTTGAAGCGTAACAAAGTACTGGATGGAGGGAATGTTGAAAATGAGGATAAAACAGAATGTTTAAGAGGGTAGATCATAAAAACTGTATCATTTGAGGTTGAGGAACATTGTAGTAAGTGGGTGGTAACGATAAAGAAAGTTTTGGATGTACAAATAAGATGGAATTCAAGTCCAGTGCAAAAGGACAGTCCCAGAACTGAGTCATTAATATTCATATTTCTGACAGTTCCATTGACGATTTCCCGGTTATACAGCGGTTAAAAAGCTTTGTATGGATGTAAAATAAAAAATCGATTATGTATCCAAAGATATATCAGAAATAGACTATTTATGACTGTTTGGAGACATTGTGCACTGCCCAGTATACAGTGTTTTCCGCTGTCTGGAGGGAATGTAGTGGAACGTGTCAGAAATAGACTATTCGATGACTAGTTCTGGGACTTCCTTCATGCAGCGAGTTGGCATAAAAATTGTAGTATTTGTTTCATAAATGGAATTTATGGAAAACAAATTCCCATACACAAGTTTCAACGATGCAAGGAAAAGAATTAGATTATCAGAAGCCTGTCATTAAAGTCTATTTCTGACAGTTACCACGACGATTCCCTCCATACAGCGGTTAAAAAGCTGTATGGAGTGATATGTCCCAACAATCTATCAGAAATAATATTTATGACAGTTCTGGGAATTCACTGCCATAAGAGCTGTTTTAACCGCTGTATGGAGGGAATGTTATGGAACTGTCTTTTGAAATAGAGACTATTAATGACAGTTCTGGGATGTCTTCAAAGCAGCGGTTAAACATTGTATGTATTTGATTCCATAAATGGATCCATTTATGGAAACAAAATTATTACATACAATGTTTCAACCGCTGTATGGAAGGACTCGTCCCACAACTGTCATTAATAGTCTATTTCTGACAAGCTGTATGGAGTGAATGTCCCAGATCTATCAGAAATAGACTATTTATGACAGTTCTGGGACATTCACTGCATACAGCTGTTTTAAAAAACGCTGTATGGAGGGAATGTCATGGAACTGTCAGAAATAGATATTAATGACAGTTCTGGGACTGTCCTTCCATGCAGCGGTTGAAAACATTGTATGTATTTGTTTCATAAATGGATCCATTTCATGGAAACAAATACATACAATGTTTCAAAGCCGCTGCATATGGAAGGACAGTCCCAGAACTGTCATTAATAGTCTATTTCTGACAGTTCCATGACATTCCCTCCATACAGCGGTTTTTAAAAAGCTGTATGGAGTGAATGTCCCAGATCTATCGACTGTCCTTCCATGCAGCGGTTGAAACATTGTATGTATTTGTTTCCATAAATGGATCCATTTTATGGAAACAAATACATACAATGTTTCAACCGCTGCATGGAAGGAGGACAGTCCCAGAACTGTCATTAATAGTCTATTTTGACAGTTCTCATGACATTCTCCTACAGCGGTTTAAACAGTGTATGGAGTGAAAAAAGCCAGAACTGATCTATCAGAAATAGACTATTTCATGACAGTTCTGGGAACACATGATTCTCAGTGTATATTAAAACTTGTAAAAGGACTTCTCATGTTCATGGAACAATGTCTTCTCATCTTATTAATGAAGTTTAAACCATCTCATTCATCTCAATTCACTAGCATCTAACAACATCATTTCTGTATGTCTCACCACCTTGTTTCCATAACTTCTCCATCCTTTATTCACACAATCTAATAACAATGTATTCAACCTTCCTGGAAGGACAAATCACAACTGCTCAAATTCTAACATTTGAAGTTCTATGAATTCTCATTCCTTCTCCTTACTGCTATCACCTGACAAATCCATCTTCAGAAAACAAATAATTAATACACATCAAAAAAATATAAAAAATAAAAAAAAAAAAAAAAATCCCTTCTCAATCACCCCAACAAAACCCACCCCAAACAAAAACATCAAATACTCAAATCATCTCCTTCTTCATCATAACAAAAACTTATTTCCCAACTCCCTTTATTCTTTCTCAAATAATCTAAAAAAAAATAAACATAAACTTATCATCCTTTCCTTATTCTCAAAAAACAAATATATCCAAACAATCAAAAACATCACCCCCTTTTCTCAACAATACCATAAATTTAATCAATCTCACATCTCATATTACTAACACATCATCAATTAAATCCCTAAAAAAATACCAAAAATATATAAAAATCTATTTCATTAATAAATTCATCCCACCTCCATTGTTAAATTCATCACCTCAAAATTTCAAATATCCTTCCCTTCTATTATTAAAAATAAAACAATTAATTAACAAAAAAAAATCAAAAAAAAAAACCAAAAAAACAAAAATTCCCTACATCTCTTCTACTTCATCTCTTCCCTACTCACTTTCTTAATCATTCTTCTTCTTCCTTTTTCTCTTTCTCATTTTTTCTCCCTCCTTTTTAATTTTTCCTTTCTTAGCCTATTTTTTCACTTTCATCCTTCTTTATCTTTTCTTCTTCTTTCATCCTTTCTTTCTTTCCTCTTCTCCTTTCCATTCTAGTGATTATCGTACAAAAACTTTTAGTCTTCCTTGTTATGATTCAAAACGTTTGTCCCAGTTCACCCCAAATCCAGCAAAGATCTAGTGCAGGGTTTACTAAATGGTGGACCGAGTTTCAGACCCGGATCAAGCAAACAGTTCTGTCTGGACCACGGCCATCGCCACTTATCAGCCCTGGGTTGTTCTTTCTTGGGGTCTTCCATCCAGCCTCATGCTATCATCCCCACAGCAGGCAGGTCAAGAAGTGCCTCCATAAGACTATGACTATGGCTATGACTGCAGGGGGCACAGTGGTGTGTAAAGGGGCATGCTGATGGGCAAAGGGGTGCTGTGATGTGAAGGGAAACTGAGGACACTGTTGGGCCTGCTTTAACCATTTCACTGCCAGGCACTTTTATCTCCTTCCTGCCCAGGTCAATTTTCAGTTTTCAGCACTGTTGCACCTTGAATGATAATTGCACGGTCATGCAACACTGTACCCATATGACATTTGTATCATTTTTTTTTCACACAAATAGAGCTTTCTTTTTGTGGTATTTAATCACCACTGGGTGTTTTATTTTTTTGCTAAACAAAAAAAAATTTTGAAAAAGTTTCTTAGCTTCTCTTATAAAAGTTTGCAAACGGGTAATTTTTCTCCTTCACTGATGTGTGTTGATGAGGCTGCACTGATAGGCAGCATTGATGGGCACTGATAGGCAGCACTGATGGGCACTGATGAGGTTGCACTGATGACGCGGCATTGGTAGGCATTGATGAGGCTGCCCTGATAAGCAGCACTGATGGATACTGATAGGCAGCAATGATGGGCACTGATAGGTGGCACTGATGAGCACTAATAGGCAGCACTAAAGGGCACTAATAGGCAACACTGAAGGGCACTGATAGGTGGCACTGACTGGCAGCACTGATGGGCAGTGATTGGCAGCACTGATGGGCACTGTTGGAGCTGCACTGATAATCAGGGCACTGATAATCAGTGCCCTTATTATCAGTATAGATGTTTCCTTTCGCGCTTGCCGGTTATCGGCAATACTTGCCTCAAGCTATCACAGCGTGAGGAAAGTACTGCCGATAACCAAAATGTGTGTATACATTGTGATCAGCTGTGATTGGACACAGCTGATCACGTGGTAAAGGGCCACTGTGATTGGCCATTTACCATGACACGCGATCAGCTGTGTTCGAAGGATCGCAGAGAGCACAGGGTGCGCACTGCAGCGGGCTCACGGGGGGGGGGGGGGGGGGGGTGCAGTTTTAGGAGGACGTCATATGATGCCCTCTCAGAACTAGACTGCCACGCTGTAACCATCATACAGCTATATGGTGGTGAGCAAGTGGTTAAAGGGAGCACTGTGATGTAGAGGGGAGTGAGATGTTAATGTAAAGGGGGTCTGTGATGTGAAGGGGAACTGTGGAAGCTGATGTAAAGGGGGGGCTTTGATGTTTAGGGGGGTTGTGATGTGAAGGGGGGGTTGAGGATGCTGATGTAAAGAGGGGGCTATAATGTGAAGGGTAGGCTGAAGACACTGATGCACAGTGGGGACTGTAATGCAAAAGGGGGATGTAAAGTGTCATAGCATAAACATGAGATTTGGAAATCTGCTAGAAACAAATTTTAGCAACAGGACCTCCATACATTTTATTTCAAGACCCCTGATGTAGTGTCTCATGGACAAGATGTGCACATGGCCAAGCTCCAGGACTGCAATGATATACAAATGATTCTGGGTCTCCAGCACTGGTGCAGGAACATCGTTGAGCTCTCACTGCATTCTTTGAAGGCAAAGCAATTACCCAAAGTAACCAACTGATATCCAACTTCAAGTGAAGAAAAATGACTGATTAGTTACTGTGGGCTACTAGCCTTTGTTCATGGCTCTTTCTCCTATTACATAAGGGTGCTAATGTTAAAGAATAAACTGCAGCTTACATGTCATTATCTGTATTCTAGGTATAATTTTTAGTAATGGAGAATTGTGGAAAGCTGGAAGGAGGTTCGCTCTCTCAACCCTTCGAGACTTTGGAATGGGGAAGAAAACAGTAGAAGCCAGAATACAAGATGAATTATTTCCTCTTATAGAAAATTTCAAGTCACACAATGGTAATGAGGTCTACTGAACAGAAACTGTTCAAAATATATTTGGTTATTAAACTAAGGAGAGAAGATACACTAGTTAAGGAAGAAGCTGCAATCAGATAGGGTTCTCATGATGAAGCCTACATAATAAAAATCCTTTATTCCTTCATGAAAAATTGCTTACATTAAAGTTAAGCTATCAGTCAACAAAGGTTAGAATATAACAAGATGGCAATAGGGCACCATGTCAGGAACTAAACTTTTAAAAAAATTTTACAATATATAAAATTTTTTGAAAATGCAGAAAGCAGCATTGTATCAGTTTATTCATTTTGCAATGTAATAAACAAATATTTATCAGTCCCAGACTTTAGATAAGCTGTAGCTGCACCCCAATAGGCTGGATGCTTATGGTGGAAGGCTATACACAAGGAGTAAGCTGCACTTTGCATGTCACATGCTATTGATGGCTCATACAAGAGTCAGAATTTCTTTAGTGCAAAAAACAATTGACTCGCAAAAGTCAGGGATCTTCGACCAGGCCAAATGTGGATCTCCTCTAAGTATAATGTAGACCCATTCTAAATATATTGTTAACAAACATTATTGTCCTCTTGATCATATTTGCGCTGATCACCTTGTAAATTACGTGAATTTGTCTTGCTTTTGACAATTCTGTATAACTATTGTTATATTAAAGGAAACCTTTTCTGAGAGAAACACAAAGGTTACTTTTGCTGACTTCTTACAGAAGAAAGACTTTATTGTCATTGAATTGAAATAAATGTGATTGCCACTCTTCAAACATTGCTAAAAACACAACAAACCAACACCACAAAAACTAACCCTCTTAATAGAAATAAATTAATATTCAATGTGATAAATAAAATGGAAATATTTATAAATTATACCATGAGGCTTTAATACCATCTGCAATCCATGTATTATTATTGCAATGACTTCAGTAATTGTATTGCTTAAGAATAAGAAGGAGGTATAATTGCTTCTTATGCACATTAAAGTGATATTAAAGGCTCGGCTTTTAAGAAAACAAAACAAAAATTAAACGTCATACTTACAGTATCTGCTCTGTGTAATGATTTTGCACAAAGCACCCCCGATCCTCCTCTTCTCTGGTCCTCCCCCAGCGCTCCTGGCTCCTCCCCCTTCACCAGTGCCCCCAATAGCAAGCTGCTTGCTATGAGGGTACTGGTACATGCTTGCTCCTGAGCCTGGCTCTATGTGTCCATAAGACACATAGAGCAGCAACTTGGCCCTACCCCTGCTCTCTCCTCATTGGCCCACTAACTGTGATTGACAGTCGTGAGAGCCAATGATTCCCGCTGCTATCTCACCCAATGAGGAGAGGGATTCCTGGGACAGCCAAGGCTCCAGTGCACATCACTGCATCAAGAAGGGGTCAGGTAAGTATAAGGGATGGGCTGCAGCACAGTTTTTTTTTACCTTCATGCATAGAATGCATGAAATCTTCAGCCTTTACAACCACTTTAAGTAAACTGATAGGAAAGAAACTCCCAGAATTTGTTCAACTGAAATGTTTTGTTCCCATAGCATCTAGCAGTCATGTACATTGCATTTTCAGAAGATTTCTGCAATGACAGCACACCATATTTCCCTGAAGTTTACTTTAAAGCTGCAGTTTAATCTGTATATGCTTTGCCTTCCTTGGTACCACAACCCCCAATCAACATGCTAATGAGATGTTAAATAAAACCTTTCTGTTTTAAATATGTAGCACTATCCCCTTATGAGTTGCTAGAGATTTGGGTCCCCCTATAGTCCTTCACAGACAGGCAACACGCATTTCCTTCCAGCCTTGCACTCCAGAGACAGTAAATAGTTCTTGAACTTTTTTGTTTTTGTTTTATTAGGGGTATTGAACTTGGATGGGGATGAGGGATACATGGGATGCCCAAGAAACTGTTAAACTGAGAGCAACTTCTTGGAACTATGTACAAGTGCTCTGAATGGTTTTGTTTCTTTGGACAGCTATCCAGACTCTCCTGGCATACCACCACAGATCCCAGATAAAATTTCCTCTTCACCCAGCTGCCTGAGGGAATCCCTGACTAAGAGGTCCCAGAAGCTGCCACCTTAAATGAAAGGAGTCCCAGATGGGGGCTAGTCAGGTTTACCACCCAAATGCCCTTTTCCCTTATCTGGCTCAGGGGGTGTGAGGATTACGCACTTAGTCCTCTCCTGCAAGCATATGGGTTGGTGGCTGCCTTCAGGCATTACGCTGGACTGGCTCCATTCAGGCTGAGAGATCCTTCCTTCCAGCTCCTCCAGCTGTAGGGACCCCCTCCCAGGTTCCACACTCCATCCTGCTCACTCCATCTTCCACCCGATCTCTCCTGCTGCTGAGCAGGCTCAGTCACACTTAAAGGTGTCCTGACCCCATGCCAAGCCTCCTGCTTGGGGATTGGTCAGAATCCCTTTAATAGTGCAGACCAGATCCTCCTCGCCCTTGCCTGCTGAATTCTAGAGACTTCTCCAAGTCTCTAGATCAGGGAGACGTATCAGTGAGCTGATCTGCAGAGCCTCTCAGCCCTGAGCCAAATTTGAACCTCTGACTATTTTTCCCTGGCTGCTACTCGGCATTCTAACTAAGAAAAAATAATAATCTAGCTCCCCCTAGCTAACTATAAATATATACCTTTAGACTCATTGATGTCACCACTGGGTCTCTGAGCTTCTTTATACAATGCATACAGATCATGGCTGGTGTGAGAGGACAGCATGGTGTTGTGAATAGGTAATGCAGTGCCTTCGACTGAAAGAACTGAAATCCAATAAATGAAAAGGGTGGGCTAGGAGCAATCAAGAAGGAAAGGGCTTGATCGTGCTGGATATCCTCTATCTAAGAAATAAGCAGGTTCTATGTAACTTGCTTCTGCTTCTAATGCACACTGTAAGCAGCTCACAATGTGCATTGGATTGCATCAATGTTAGTACTACTTTGACTAAAGATTGAAGCTAAGGCTGATATTTAAATTTAAGAATGGATATTTGAGTGTTAATTGTGAGTGCAAGGGCTTGAAAAAGATGGAAAGTATCTGGTTGCTGTAGAAATGTAGAAATGTGGGTCCTGTGCTTCAAAATGTCACCATGGACAAGTGTCCTTATTATCCTTAAAGTATAACTAAAGCCAAAACCTTTTTTATTGTTTTGATGGAGATGGGTTAGAACACCTGCCAGGTGTTTATTGCTGTCTGTGCCCCCGTTAGGGAGATTCAATCTCTCTATTTGTCCTGTTTACCATTATCATTGAACGTGAAAGTAAAAGAAATTCCAAATTTTGGGTTTTCCCCAGAAAAGTAATAGAGGGGAAATCTTCCAATGGGGACACTAGTTCTGTGACCTGGGGGGTCCCAAAGGATTTCTTTAACCGATTCCTGTTAGCCCTATAGCAGATATACTGCTACAGGGCAGCACGGGTGTGCAAAATCATGCATATATACGTGATTTTGCATTTCCAGGTTGGGGGCGCGAGCGAGCCCTACCCACGCCTCCATTTGGGGCCGCGGTTGTCAATCCCGGCCAGTGGATACTCGCCGGTGCCTGGTGATTGTTGAGCATCTCTGATGGGGAGGAGAACTGTATGTAAACAATACAGTTCTCCTCCCTGTCAGGTCGTGCAAACTGCTTTGGATGGCTGTGCACAGCACAGCCATCCAAAGCAGTGTGATTACAGTGAAGCACACACACAGTGCTCATAGTGAAAGAGCACACAGCACACAGTTAACCTTTTGATCGCCCCTCATGTTAGCTCCTTCCTGCCCACTGCCATTAGTAGTGTTAGTGTTTTTTTTAGCACTGATCACTGTATTGGTGTCACTGGGGATATCAATGACACCAAGTCAGTTCCCCCCAGTGTCAGAATGCCCGCCGCAGCAGTCCCGCTATAAGTCGCTGATCGCTGCCATTACTAGTGAAAATAAAAATTTCCAGTATATATTCCGCCATTTGTAAACTTTCATGTAAACCAATTATTTACACATATTGGGTTTTTTTTAGCAAAGACATGTAGCAGAATACATTTTGGACTACATGTATGACAAAATGTGTTTTTTTTAAATTTTTTTTTACTGGACATGTTTAATAGAAAAAAAGTCAAAAATATAGTTTTTTCTCAAAATTGTCTGCCTTTTTTTTTTATAGCACAAAAAATAAAAAATGCACAGGCGATCAAATACCACCAAAAGACAGCTCAATTCGTGGGAAATAAAGGATGTAAATTTCATTTGGGTCCAGAGTTGCATGACTGCGCAATTGTCAGTTAAAATAATGAAGCGTCTTAACGCAAAAAATAGCTTGGTCAGGAAGGGGGGTAAATCCTCAGGAGTGCAAGTGGTTAATTTGTAGGGTATTCCTCTCACTTCCTGTTTTGGCTATGGGACAGGAAGTGAATGGAAATCTCCCCAACGGGATTCAGTTGGAAAATAAAATGAAAAGGGTTATAAACTTTCACTTACTCTATCCAAAATGAAAAAAAAGTTTTGCCTATAGCTCTACTTTAAGGCTTCAGTTAGAGCAGTGGTTCTCAACCTTCCTAATGCTGTGACCCTTTAATACAGTCCCTCATGTTGTGGTGACCCCCAACCATAAAATTATTTACCCAGTAATTATAATTCATGAGTGTCGTTTTACCTCCAATACTGCTGCTTTCAACACAGTAGCTGCTTTTAACAGAGTAGCTGCTTTCAACACAGCAGCTGCTTTCTACACAGTAGCTGCTCTTTACACATTGGAAATATGTGTTTTCTGATGGTCTTAGGGGACCCCTTTGAAAGGGTCGTTCGACCCCCAAAGGGGTCGCGACCCACAGGTTGAGAACCACTGAGTTAGAGTCAGTTGTGCACATTGGAACCATTTTCAAGAACAAGTTTCAGTATGACTGTTGTCTATTCAGATCTTTGTGTTAACACGTAGAAATTCAAGACCCCCAATTTTCCTTGCTGACATTTGCATATCTAAAACAAATATAGATGAACCTACAGTTTAGTAGAAATATTTAACTGCTTTTATGACTGAAAATATATCCCTGCTTTTCTTTCCATTTCATTTACCGTGCAATGTCCAGGGAAGCCATTTGACACAAACGTGATAATGAACAGCGCGGTGTCTAATGTCATCTGCTCTATCATTTTTGGGAAAAGGTTTGAATACGATGACCCAGAGTTTAAAAAATTAATTCGAATTGTGACCAAAACTACCAAACTGGCAGGCACACCTAAAGTGATGGTAAGCATTTCTTTTATTATTTTTATTGGTCTTTAGCTTACACTTAATATAACATATGTAGACTTATTTGAAAACAAGTGCAAAAAGCAATGGTATGAAGGAGCCTCTAGTATTGACCTGAGGATTATCAGCTTTCATCACTGTGGGCATGTTAAATTGCTAAGATCTGACTGGCTGCCATTGATATTTTCGGTAAAGAATAACCGTATTTCCCATTGAAAGTGTGTGTTTTTTCTATCTCACAATGCCCATGCCAATATTGTCTAAAGCCAAACTTTTTTTTTTTTATTTTGAACAGAGTTGGGCATGTTTATGTGGCACCCCCCTGATGTTCAGGAGTCATGATGGTACCCCCAGAGATGAGGGGGGGGGGCTGACATTTCACCTTAGGGTGTAGATCTCTTGGAGAATAATGGGAAATGTGAATAAATGGGCGCCAGTCACTTTTAGATGAAATAAAAAGAAGTTTATTAACTCACACTTAAACTCCAGGGAGAGGGTAGGGAATTCCAAACACCCATTACTGACCTGCAGACGCAATAGCACAACAATAGACTCTAGAACAGTAATTTAGGCTGAAATCCAGCACCTGTACCTTTTTAATAGCAGCAATTTCCATGAGCAACCAGGTCTTTCCCAGTGCCAGCAGCAGTAGCATTGATGATCCCAGCTTTTCCAGGCTTGCCACGAGTTCCTCACCCAGGACCTCAAGTGGAGGAGCGACCTGTGGAACTTCATCTCAGACATCATCAGTTACTCTCCTGTCCTCAGTCAGACTTCCAGACTACAGAGCCTCAGACACCAGGAATCACTGGACAGGCAGACTTCTTCTGCTCCAAGCATATATAGAGGCCTCAGGCTTCAGGATTAATTATTCAGCTGCTCCTCACACACCCACCCCAGGCCATAGCCTGGGGGGAAGAGAGAGAACATCTGGCCCTCTCCAAATATTTATACTCCCCACAGCATGCTCCAGTGGTAATAAAGCTCCTACTGGTTGACTAGAAGCATAGATATTCATAACTCAGTTTTGATGTAGCTTCTTACTAATACCAGATGTACCAGTGACACCTACTGGCAGAAAGGAGAAACCACAGCTTCATTGAGTTTAGGGGAAAACCAAATGAGCAAAATGACTGGTTGTCTACCACTTAGCAAGACTAAATTTGAATAGTAGTCCCCATTTAGGACAGGGTGGCTACATATAAAACTCCTCTCAGGCTTTTTTGTTATGTTTGTCCTATTAGGAGATTTACCATCTCTTCCTCCCCTGTGGACTAAACAGAGGGAAAAGAAAATCTCTCCAAAACAGACAAAACTCCTCTTGTTTTCACTAAAAAAAAGCATCTCCATTGGAAGATTTCCCCTCTAATACTGTTCTGGTGACAAATGAAAAGTTTGGAACTTCACTCACTTTCATTGTAGAGACAATGGTAGCAAGGACACTTTGGGGTTGGTTTACTTAAGGAAAACTTTACAAAGGAATTTGCACTTTGTAAATGAATTTTCCCCAAAGCTTAGTAAATGAAGTGAAGCTCTGCTGACTTCCATCATCCAATTGTGTTTAAGCAAAAATGCTGTCTCTTTATTTTCCTTGCTTGTGATTGGGTATTCTTGGCAAAGTGAATTTTCACTACATTTACTAAGCTCTGGGAAAAAGTCCCTTGTCTTTAGTAAAGCAATCCCACTGAAAGATGGAATGTCATTAGCAGAGATGCAGATCAGTATATACAGTGCTCAGCATAAATGAGTACACCCCTTTTGAAAAATAAGATTTTAATCAATATCGAAATGAACACAAGAACAATTTCCAAAATCGTGACAACATTGAGTTTTATAGAACATTTATTTAGCTCATTACTTGAAAGTAAGGTTAATAATATAACTTAGATTACACAATCTTCAGCTTTACTCAAATTATTTGATGCAAAAATGAATACACCCACAACACAAACTTCTCCATATAGTATTTTGTATGACCTCCATGATTTGTAAGGACAGCACCAAGTCTTCTAAGCATGGAATGAACAAGTTGGCGACATATTGCAACATCAATCTTTTTCCATTCTTTAAGAGTGACCTCTTTTAGAGCCTGGATGCTGGATGGAGAGTGATGCTAAACTTGTCCCTTCAGAATTTCCCATAGGTGTTCGATTGGGTTCAGATCAGGAGACATACTTGGCCACTGAATCACTTTCACCCTGTTCTTCAGAAATGCAACAGTGGCCTTATATGTGTGTTTTGTATCATTGTCAAGTTGGAAAAGCGCACAATGACCAAGGGCACAGACTGATGGTAGTATCTTCTCTTTCAGTATGGAGCAGTGTATCTGTGAATTCATGATACCATCAATGAAATGCAGCTTCCTGACACCAGCAGCATTCATGCAGCCCCAAAGAAGGACACTGCCTCCACCATGTTTCACTGTAGGCACAATGCATTTTTCTTTGTACTCCTCACCTTTTCAATGCCATACAGTTTTGAAGACACCAATTCCAAAAACATTTATCTTGGTCTCATCACTCCAGAGTACAGAGTCCCAGTAGTCTTCTTTTTCAGCATGGGCCATGGCAAATTCTAGGCGGGCTTTTTTGTGCATGGGCTTTAGGAGAGGCTTCCTTCGTGGATGACACCTATGCATGTAATTTCTCTGCAGTGTACGCCGTATTGTGTCATTGGGAACAAACACCCCAGTTTGGCTTTCTACTTCTTTAGCTAACTGCAGTGAAATTGCATGGTGATTTTCTTCAACCCTTCTCATCAGAAGACACTCCTGTCGAGGTGTTATCTTCTGTGAACGGCCTGGATTTCTCTGTGAGATGGTTGCAGTTCCATCTTTGCTAAATTTTTGTATCACTTTTGCTACAGTATTTTGATAAGTAAAGCTTTGATGATCTTCTTGTAGGCTTCACCTTTTAAAATATGTAAAGAAATTATATTCTTTCTCAGGCCTTTTGACATTTCTCTTCCATGTGGTGCCATTGCTGACAGCATGACATTTTTGTTAAGTAACGCCCTTTTATATTCAACTGCCTGCTGGACACCTGTTTAATAAATAATTAGACTAAACTGTAATTGAATCCTTGTTAATTAGGATTTTATTGTCTAAAATTTAGCTTTGCTTCTAAGACTCTCATTGGGGTGTATTCATTTTTGCAACTTGGTCTTGAATTTGTTAGGAAAAATACTTTATTGTGTGTGCAAATTAGCAAATCTTGTTTGCAATCGATTGCCCGCATTTGTGGGAGTATTTTGTTGTATAGTGTCCCATAGAAAATGTTGATTCTGAAAGGAAAGTAAAGGTTTTCTAACAAATCTGTTGGGGTGTACTATATTGCCAAAAGTATTGGGACACCTGCCTTTACACGCACATGAACTTTAATGGCATCCCAGTCTTAGTCTCTAGGGTTCAATATTGACTTGGCCCACCCTTTGCAGCTATAACAGCTTCAACTCTTCTGGGAAGGCTGTCCACAAGGTTTAGGAGTGTGTCTATGGGAATGTTTGACCATTCTTCCAGAAGCGCATTTGTGAGGTCAGGCACTGATGGCGGACGAGAAGGTCTGGCCCACAGGATCCAATCTAATTCATCCCAAAGATGTTCTATCAGGTCAAGGTCAGGACTCTGTGCCGGCCAGTCAAGTTCCTCCACCCCACTTCATCCATGTCTTTGTGGACTTTGCTTTGTGCACTGGTGCCCAGTCATGTTGCAACAGGAGGGGCTAAACTGTTCCCACAAATTTCGGAGCATGAAATTGTCCAAAATGTCTTGTATTCAGACGCCTTAAGAGTTCCCTTCACTGGAACTAAAGGGCCAAGCCAACCCCTGAAAAACAACCACACAACATAATCTCCCATCCACCAAACTTTACAAGTGGCACAATGCAGTCAGGCAAATACTGTTCTCCTGGCAACCGCCAAACCCAGACAAATCCATCGGATTGCCAGAGAAGCGTGTTTGGTCACTCCAGAGAACACATCTTCACTGCTCTAGAGTCCAGTGGCGGCATGCTTTACACCACTGCATCCAACGCTTTGCATTACACTTGGTGATATAAGGCTTGGATGCAGCTTCTCAGCCATGGAAACCCATTCCATGAAGCTCTCTATGCACTGTTGTGCTAATCTGAAGGCCACAGAAAGTTTGGAGGTCTTTAGCTATTGACTCTGCAGACAGTTGGTGACTTCTGTGCGCTGTGCAGTTCAGCATGCGCTGACCCCGCTCTTTCATTTTACATGGCCTATCACTATGTGGCTGAATTGCTGTTGTTCCCAGTTGCTTACACTTTGTAGCAATACCACTAACAGTTGACCGTGGAATATTTAGTAGCAAGGAAATTTCATGGATGGACTTGTTGCACAGGTGGCAACATATCACAGTACCACACTTGAATTCACTGAGCTCCCGAGAGTGGTCCATTCTTTGACAAATCTTTGTAGAAGCAGTCTGTATGCCTAGGTGCTTGATTTTACACACCTGTGGCCATGTAGGTGATTGGAACACCTGAATCCTATGATTTGGAGGAGCATCCCAATATATTTGGCAATATAGTATTATTATATATATATATATATATATATATATATATATATATATAATTTAGGCTGGATGTGCTTTAACATAAGTGTGAACAGAACCTAATGTTCTAAGTATTACTGATTTGCCTCCCCAGATGTTTAACTATTTTCCTCGTATCTCAACTTTTCTTGGCCTACATAATAAAGTTGAGCAAAACATAAATGATCTTTGTGAGTTTATTTCAAAACGCATCAAATATAAGAAAAAGGAGTTTGATACAAATGCTATCTCTGGATATATTGATGCATACCTTATGAAGCAGGTAAGTACTTTTCTCATTTATATGTGCTGCTTGTGTAAAACTATGAAAATTGGAATGACTTTGTTTCATTTGGATGTTAGCTTTGCACTTTGAGAACTTACTGGTACTCCATGAGAGGTCACTTAGCCTCATTTGAAATGTTTTTTACATCCTGCAATTTGTCTCACTAATAGGAAATTTATTACCTGATAGTGCACCCTTACTTTGACAGGTCTGTCAATTTTTAACAGAGCTCTATAACAGTACAGTTGGTCTCTAAAAAGTATAACTTGGCATTCTTTGACAAAGCCTTCAATATCATGGGCTCTCTCTTTATCTCATATATTAGTTTCACCTTTTAAGTTGCATTACTGAAATAAATTAACTTTTGCACAATATTCTAATTTTTCGAGTTTCACATGTACATGGCAGTCTCTCTCAAACACTTAGCAGACTTTAGCTAACAACTCAATCTCTTTTACTATATCTCACTCTTACTCTGAAACCTGGCAAATATACAAATGACCTTCCCCATAGATAAGTACCTCTGACTCCCTCATAATAACCTTCAATCTCCCTTCCTATTAAAATGGCATATTCTTTTAAAAAGTTCTACACTCAAGTAAAGGGGCAGTTTTTTTTTTTTTTGTACGATGAAAAATGTTCTTGCCAATGGACTGCAGATGAAACTTACAGAGTTGAATTTTAAAGCGGAGTTCCACCCATTTTTAATACTTTACCTGATTATGTTGTCCCTGTGAAATAAAGAACAAGTTTGATTATTTTTTTAATATACATTCCTTTAAATCCACTGCAAGCCTGCAGTTCTGGTCCTGGTCGCCTAGGCGATGATGTCGTAAGGTCTTCTGGGATGTAATTTCCTGTATCCCAGGAGTCCTTTGGTTTCCTATAATCGTGGGACTTGGAAACTGGAAATGACACGAATGGGAGGAGTTTTTCTCCATTTTACCGGAGTCCAGATTACAGGTAGACGTGGATGTTATATCCTGCTGCGTCCTACGCTGTGCTGTATGCTGGAATTGCAGAGTGTGTACATCGCGCCGAGGAGTGTCTGTACTGTGCAGGCGCGAGAATGAGTGGTGCATGCTGGGATAGCCAGCAGCACCGATTCCTGGAAATAAATACCTGCGGGCTTCAGATGCCCACAGCCATCATGGCGCCTGCCTGCTTTCGAGATCATGGTACATTTTTAATAATTACTAAGTAACTACAATGCTTTTACTATTGAACGATTCCATTTGTTAATGCTAATTGAAAGGTCATCATGGATCTGCTTTTACCAAACATTTATTATAAGGACTGGAGCTCTGCTTTAAAGTAAGCAGTGTACCTGAAGCATTTGAATTTCACTTGGTATCAGCCTCTTGCATTTCCTGTACAGCAGAGCTCAGACTGGAGGATGAAGAAGCAACACAAAGAGCCAATCAGTTGTGCTGCAGTGCTAATGTACTAACAAGATGAATGCTGAGAGGAGGAGAGAGTAGAGTGGGAGAGAGATGAGCTCATCAGCTTCTTTTTGCCTGTTCAGCTACAGACTTGGGAAGGTAAAAGACTTGCAAATGTTAATTAAATGCAGCAAAGAACAACCAGGTTGTTGTGCTGTGTTGCAAAGCTGTGTAAATCTCGAGACTAGATGTACTAAAATACAAACCCTTTTAGCAGGTTTCATCTGTGTATTTGCCAGTTCTTTGTTAAACAAATTCTACATTTGATACCTAGTTTGTCACATTGAAAAAAGACACAAGTCCATCTAGTTCAACCTATAGAAAAAGATAAATAGAAAAACTCCATATACACAATCCAATATCCACAGTTGATCCAGAGAGAGGAAACAACCTTATGAAGCATGGTCCAATTTGCTCCAGAGATGGGGGATCCCTTCATAATCCTTCCTGAATTGGATATTTTTGTTACATGTACTTACAGTGAAGGAAATAAATATTTGATCCCCCGCTGATTTTGAATGTTTGCCCACTCACAAAGAAATGATCAGTCTAAAAATCGAATGGTAGTTGTATTGTATTGAGAGACAGAATAGCAACAAAAAACTCAAAATTATGCACTGATTTGCATGTTCATGAGGGAAATAAGTATTTGATCCCCTATCATTCAGCAGGATTTCTGGCCACCAGGTGTCTTTCATACAGGTAACAAGCTGAGATTCGAAGCAATCTCTTAAAGGGAGTGCTGCTAATCTCATTTTGTTACCTGTATAAAAGACACCTGTTCACAGGAGCAATCAAACAATCAGATTCCAAACTCTCCACCATGGCAAAGACCAAAGAGCTGTCCAAGAATGTCAGGGACAAGATTGTTGACCTACACAAGGCTGGACTCGGCTACCAAACTATCACCAAGCAGCTTAGTGAGAAGGTGACAACAGTTGGTGCAATCATTTGCAAATGGAAGAAACACAAAACAACTGTCAGTCTCGTTAGGTCTGGTGCACCATGCAAGATCTCATCTCGTGGAGTGTGTCAATGATCCATCTGGAACGCACTGGAACTGCAAACACTGATGTGAAGTATGACATTAACAACCATATAACCTACTTTTTGTACGTTTTGAATGCAGAAAAACACAATTGAAATGCATACAGTGTGAACTGGCCCTAAGGTCTCTAACTCACATTCATACATACACATACTAGGACCAATTTCGACATGAGCCAATTAACCTACCAGCATGTCTTTGGAGTGTGGGAGGAAACCGGAGTACCTAAGGGAACCTATTCAGGCACAGGGAGATCATGCAAACTCCATTCAGGTAGTGCCATGGTTGGGATTCAAATCAACTATCCTAGCGCTGCCAGGTGGAAGTGTTAACCACTTATCCACTGTGCTGCCACTTAGCCACTCTTCCCTGGATTGATAGTCTCTACAGTTATTACCTATAAATGTTGATATTCAGTTGTATTGTACAGTGGCAAAATTACCTCTCTCTTTCTGGAGTCCATACCTCTATACCTTTTTTAAAGGAGAAGTGTGGGATTGAAAAAAAAAACAAATAAACATACTCACCCATATGGCAGCAGCATCCGATCCTGCAGTTGTCTCCCGATGGCTCTAAGACCGAGAACTTAGGGATCACATGTCCACTGATTGCTCAGTTCTCAGTTCACTGAGCAGAGAGCGGTGACTGTCAGTATGTTTGTTGCATGCAGCCCCCACGTTCGTATTTTACATTTATCAGCATTAAATCTCATTTGCCACATAGTTGCCCAAGTAAATAGTGCATTGAGGTCAATGGTTTGGGGATATCCTGTTAGCACATTATTCAACTGCATAACTTGGTGTCATCTGCAAACACTGAAATTGTACTTTTAATCCCAAGCTTTGTATCATTTATAAATATGTTAAAAAGTAAGGGTTCCAACAAGAAGAGATGCATGGTCACATGACAGAACTGTCTAACCTTTTAAAAAATTTAAGAAAGAATATTTATGAAACTAAGCAAAACCAGTTATGGTGCCTGCATATTTACAACTGTATTAGAAAGTGTTTATAATATTGTATGTTCACAACCACTTTAATTACTACTTTTTAAATACGGTCTTTTAGCCAGTTTTCTATCCATTTACAAACCAAATTTCCTAAGCATGTAGACTTAGACATGTGTATGGGGAACTGTGTCAAATGCTTTAGCAAAATCCAAGTATGCTATATCCACAGCCATTCCTTTGTCTATGTTTTTGCTTACTTCCTTGAAAAAGAAATCAGATTTGTTTGACACTTTCAGCCCATGCTGTCTATTGCATAAAATATTTTTTTCTAGCAAAAATTCTTCTATGTGGTCTTTTTTTAAACTCACAAGTATCTTCCTGACTATAGAAATTAAACTAACTCATCTGTAGTTACTTGATAAAGACTTTGATCCCTTTTTACATATCGGCACCACATTGGCCTTGCATCAATCCATTTAATTAAAGAGTCTTTAAAGTGGTTGTAAAGGCTCAAGGTTTTTTCCTTCATGCATTCTATGAAAAGAAAGTTTAAAAATATATAAAAATAAAAAATGAACAACAGGATGCAAAAGAGAGTAGGAGAAAGCCCAAACAATCCTTCAAATATATTAATAATAAAATGGTCAGGTTTGAGCATGAAGGTCCTTTACAAAATAATTTAGAGCTGGTGACTGGAGACAAAGAGAAGACAAATGTATTGCTCCTTCAGCTCTGTGTGTACAAAAGGAAAACGGTGAAGCTCAAGTCCATAATGGGGATGATAATGACATAGCCCCAAAGGACCCCAATGGCTTACACCTACATATCCTCAAAGAGTTCAGCTCTGTTATTTCAAAGTTATTGTTTCTAATTTTTAAAGCAATTCTAAAGTCTTACATTTCTTTTCCCTAAAAATAACAAACATGCCTATACTTATCTGCTGTGTGCAGTGGTTTTGCACAGAGCAGCCTGGATCCTCCTCTTCTTGGGTTTCCCACAGGTTCTCCTGGCCAAGAAGCTTGCTATGGGGGCACCCACAGCTCCGTGTGTCCATTCCACTGCTCGGCCCCGACCCTCTCACTCACTTCCCATTGGCTCACTGGCTGTGATTGACAGCAGCCAATGGCTCCCGCTGCTGTCTCAGCCAATAAGGATAGGGAGTCCGGGGATAGCCGAGACTCCAGTGTACATTGCTGTATTGAGAGGAGGCTTAGGTAAGTACTGGGGGGATGCTACATACAGAAGGTTCATACATAGAATGCATGTAGGTAAAAAAACCTTGAGCCTTTACAACCACTTTAAATACTACTCCAGCCTTCCATTAAACCTCTCCCTTAGCTCAGCAGACTCCCTTCCATTTAGGTGTAAACCATCCTTAGTGTATAGATTTTGCCCTAATGGAAAGTCAGCCCAGTGCTCTAGAAACTCAAATCCTCTAAGCTCCCCCTACCTTTCCAGTGTTGCACATGGCACAGACAACATTCCAGACAGAGACTATAACCTTGGAGGTTCCTTCCTTCAACTTTCAGCCTAATTCTTTAAATTGATTCTTTTGGATACTCCATCTTCCATGTATTCTTTCACGGTCCCAACAAGGACCATGTCATCAGAGTCATTTATTGACATTCACCAAAAAAAAACACAAAATCTTTACTTTAGAAGACAATCAGGAGCACCAACTTTATTTCTAAATTTGAACTTGCAAAACGATTTAGGCCAGGATCCTACTTATGCATTTTAATGCACATATTTAATTGATTTCAATGAAAACGCAAGTCGACAAGTGCAAAAGTTTTCTCTGTGTTATGGAATTTATTTACAATTTTATTTTGACGTGCATTGAGACAATAGTGAGAGATTAACGACTGACTTAAATAAAAAAAGCTGATTTTTTGTTGTTGATGCATTTGATATTTGTGTTTTTAGGAGTCAGCCAAAGTTGAAAAGTACTTTGATGATGAAAATATGATATACTCAGTTGTGGATCTCTTTGGAGCTGGGACGGAAACAACATCAACAACACTACGCTGGGGCATTTTACTGATGATGAAGTATCCAGAAATACAAAGTAATTTTATGGGTTTTCAAAGTGATGCCATTTAGTGATGCCGAACTTATAGCTCACTTCGCCGCGGCAAACTAAGCCGGAAGTGGGAGCGGGTACCTGTCAAAACCAGGTATCTGCTCCCCCCAAAAAGTGCCAAATATGGCAGTGGAGGGGGCCAATAAGCAGAGATTCCACTTTTGGGTTAACTCCGCTTTAATGGAGAAGAGAATATGGCAAGTCTTGTCAAATTAAAACTCCAGGCAAAATTTAAATATTGATTAAGTAATGGTTAGAAACTCAGTCAGGATTTTCTTACTATGAAGGGGCAAAGCTAGGATTGTAAAAGACCTGGGGAATACTTGGGCATCATGAGGAGAGCAATGATGCAGTATGCACTGCTGTTGCCCTATATTTGCAGTGGGAGGGGCTTAAATGTTATGATTAAAAAAAAAGAAAAAAGAGGTCTATTCACTAAATACAAGGCATAGATAATCCACACTCCTTGTACCAAACAATATGTTTTATTTATTTTGCCACAGACTAGTTAAGTAAACCTTACAGACATGTGAACTTTAGCACAATCATTTTTTCTAAATGCTTTTCTGCACACAGAAATTAGATAGGTGATACTTTGTTTATGTCTACCTTGAAGTATAACTAAAGGAAAAACTTTTTATTTATTTTATTAATTATTAGTTTTGGATAGAGCAGAGCTGGATTTCATTTTTATTGTTGTCTGTACCCCTGTTAGGGAGATTTACCCTAACAAAGAAACTAAGAAAATCACACATTATGAGTTTTCCGTAAAAGAGGAATGGTGGGGATGCCTTCCAATGGGGATACTAGTTCTGGTGACCCTGGTGATAACCAGGGATTCCCTCTCTTTTCACTTATGTCCGGTTTTGGCTATGGAACAAGAAGTGAAGAGGAAGCTCCTCAATGGGACACAGATGGAAAAAAAAAACCTGACAGGGGTTATAAAACCCCTCTTTGCTCTATCCAGTATGAAAAAATGTTTTAAAGAAACACTTCATTAAAATTGTCAGGGGCTGTTTAGCATCAGTAACAATTGAAAGGATTAATAGCCACTTTACCGCTCATGCACCACTGAATCAGGCCTCTGCAGTAGTTTCATTTGTACAAACTTACTGATACTGAAGTTGTATCTTCAAACATCAGAAACTTCAATTCCATGTTTAAACAAGATTTTTGCTGCCCCAGTACTTTGCCTGGCCTGAAGGATGACGCGGATCTCCCTGGGGGTATTTCTGACCATAAACTTTTAAAGATTTTAAAGATCTTTAAAATTTTAAAGATCCTCTTCTTAGATTCACCTTCTGATAAAAGGGGTTGAAGGCCTGGGATGTCTTTAAAGCCACTATAAAAGGAAGATATCTTACCAATTATTAAGTCAGCTAAGTCCAATCACAACACAGCATCCCTAAATCCCTTAAGGAGCTTGGAACCAAATTTTCACAGGGATTTTCTGACTCCCCCACAGATAAAAACTCATACTAATTTATTGACAACCCATCTTGGTCGTCGGCTGTACCTAATGGAACTCACCCATTGTCATTTAAATATACAGGATGAAGCCCTTTATGAGAAAATAACAGAAATGGGAGGCTGCTGACACATCTAGTTGGACATTTGTGGGCACAAACTGCAATTCCTTGCATTCAATGTTCTGATGAGATGGTAACAGGTGACCCTGAAGAAATCCTGGTATCCTTTGAAACCCACAACACCAATCTTTTTTCAACCTACAGCCCACAAATCTTGTCAATGTTTTAGAGCAGGTCTTCTGATCCCTACTAGCACTTCCCAGAGTGGAGAGGGAAGTGGTGAAGTTCGAAGTGGATTTTTCGGAAACATCTATTGAAGTATTAAAGTAGGCCATTCTCCCTCTCCCGATCTCCCGATGGCTTCTCATCCAAATTTTATAAGACTTTTGTCATGAAGCTCATTCCTAGACTTAAAAAAGGTTTAAGCAATGCCACACAGAAGATATATTTCTACTTTCTCCTACCTGAAAGGACCCCTCTTCTATTCTCCCTAGAAGCCCATCTCCCTACTGAATAATGACCTAAAAATAATAACAAAAATATTAGCATCCAGAGTGGCCTGTGTCTTAGACTCCATTGTTGATGTTGACCAGTGTGGGGTTCAGAGTTGGGATATCAACAGATATGACAAAAATCTTCAAGAACCTGGGTTGCTTTGGACATTGTAAATGCTTTTGACTCGTTAGATTGGGACATTATGCGCACGTTCCTGAACAAGTTTGGTTTTGACCCACAGTTTCTTTGGTGGACCTACCTCTATCAAACTTCTCAGGCTTTTACCAAGATTAATGATAAAATCTCATGCACATTCTCTATTTCCAGGGGCACCAGGTAGGGGTGTCTCTCTCCCCAGCCCTATTCATAATGTTAATGGAATATATTGCCTCTGCCCTTTGAGCCTTACCACATATTCTGAGTCTGAGAGTGGGAAACATATATGACCACTTCGCCTTATATGCGGATGATCTCATTCTATCTTTGAGAGATTCAGACCCCTCCTTTTGAACAACCCTTCATATTTTAAATTAATTCTCTTCCTTCAAAAAGTCATTTGAGGGAAGTCACAATCTTCTCCCTAGACTCAGAGCCCAAGAGCCACAATAACCCAGATTCACCCCTTTATTCAACTGTTTTTACTATCTGGTGACACAGGTTACCAGCTGCATTCATACCTCTAAATCCCTAAACTTAACCTCCTCCTGTCTCTAGCTAATGCAGCTTCTTCTCTTCTGTTTATTTTCAATTTCTAAGGACTACATATCCCATGATACCTGTAAGGTAAACTGGATTTCCAGAAAGCCAGTGAGGGCGTATCTTAATGTGCATGCTCATTGCGCTGCTCATACTTCCAAGGCAACATCAAGCGTACTAGGGCGTCCACCTCGTGTGTGCGCGCGCATGCATGCACGCACGTAACAATTAATATGTGCACTTGGCACCCAGTGGCCTATTTAAATTGATGTGTCACTAAAAGAAGTTTTTGAATGGTCTTCAGCATGTTCCTGTATTCCTGAGATGGTGAGACCAGGCTGGAAATGATTATGATTATGTTCACATATTGTAGAGATGCTGATGTAATGTACTTACTCTTATGTTATAGAAAAGGTACAAGAGGAAATCAGGACACATATTAAACAAGGTCAGATGCCTACAGTGGATGATCGGAGGAATATGCCTTATACTGAAGCAGTAATACATGAAATTCAGAGGTTTGCTAATATTATTCCTCTGAATGTGTCACACACAACTCCAAGCGATGTGTATTTTCGGGGATACTGCATCCCAAAGGTGAGTTTTAAAATTCCTTCCACTATCTGAAAATGTTACTTTAAACCACCAAAACTGTATTTAACATCTCATTAAAAAAACTTGCATGCCATGGTGTGGATACTGCATTGTGAAAATCCTTTGGTTAATGCTGCAGAGAAGGAGATGCCAGTCACATGACTTTAAAAGATCGTGACTGGACTCTCATTGGCTACATTTATTAACTACTTCAAGTCCGGACACTTTCACCCCCTCCCAGTCCAGACCAATTTTCAGCTTTCAGCACTATTACACTTTGAGTGACAATTACTCAATCATGCAACACTGTACCCATATTAATTTTTTAATCTTTTTTTAATGACAGATAGAGCTTTCCTTTGGTGGTATTTTAGCACCACTAGGTTTTTTTGCTATATAAATAAAAAAAAAATGCCAAACATTTTGAAAAAAAAAAATCATTTTTTGCCTAGTTTCTGTTATAAAGTTTTTGCAAATAAATATGTTTTCTCCATAAATTTAGACCAGAAATGCATTCTGCTACATTTTCTTGGTAAAAATAACCAAAAACAGTGTATATTATTTTTTCTGTGTGAAAGCTATAGAGTCTACAATTTATGGGATATACAGTGGGGCAAAAAAGTATTTAGTCAGCCACCAATTGTGCACGTTCTCCCACTTAAAAAGATGAGAGAGGCCTGTAATTGGCATCATAGGTAGACCTCAACTATGAGAGACAAAAGGAGAAAAAAAATCCAGACAATCAAATTGGCTGATTTGGAAAGAATTTATTTGCAAATTATGGTGGAAAATAAGTATTTGGTCAATATCAAAAGTTCATCTCAATACTTTGTTATATATCCTTTGTTGGCAATGACAGAGGTCAAACGTTTCCTGTAAGTCTTCACAAGGTTGGCACACACTGTTGCTGGTATGTTGGCCCATTCCTCTATGCAGATCTCCTCTAGAGCAGTGATGTTTTGGGGCTGTGGCTGGGCAACACGGACTTTCAACTCCCTCCAAAGGTTTTCTATGGGGTTGAGATCTGGAGACTGGCTAGGCCACTCCAGGACCTTGAAATGCTTCTTACGAAGCCAATCCTTCGTTGCCTGGGTGGTATGTTTGGGATCATTGTCGTGTTGGAAGACCCAGCCACGTTTCATCTTCAATGCCCTTGCTGATGGAAGGAGGTTTGCACTCAAAATCTCATGATACATGGCCCCATTCATTCTGTCCTGTACATGGATCAGTCGTCCTGGTCCCTTTGCGGAGAAACAGCCCCAAAGCATGATGTTGCCACCCCCATGCTTCACAGTAGGTATGGTGTTCTTTGGATGCAACTCAGCATTCTCTCTCCTCCAAACACGACGAGTTGTGTTTCTACCAAACAGTTCTATTTTGGTTTCATCTGACCATATGACATTCTCCCAATCCTCTTCTGGATCATCCAAATGCTCTCTAGCAAACTTCAGACGGGCCCGGACATGTACTGGCTTAAGCAGGGGGACACGTCTGGCACTGCAGGATCTGAGTCCCTGGCGGCGTAGTGTGTTACTGAGGGTAGCCTTTGTTACGTTGGTCCCAGCTCTCTGCAGGTCCCCCCATGTGGTCCTGGGATGTTTGCTCACCATTCTTGTGATCATTTTGACCCCACGTGGAGCCCCAGATTGAGGGAGATTATCAGTGGTCTTGTATGTCTTCCATTTTCTAATTATTGCTCCCACAGTTGATTTGTTCACACCAAGCTGCTTGCCTATTGCAGATTCAGTCTTCCCAGCCTGGTGCAGGTCTACAATTTTGTTTCTGGTGTCCTTCAACAGCTATTTGGTCTTCACCATAGTAGAGTTTGGAGTGTGACTGTTTAAGGTTGTGGACAGGTGTCTTTTATACTGATAACAAGTTCAAACAGGTGCCATTGATACAGGTAATGAGTGCAGGACAAAGGAGCCTCTTAAAGAAGAAAGTACAGGTCTGTGAGAGCCAGAAATCTTGCTTGTTTGTAGGTGACCAAATACTTCCACCATAATTTGCAAATAAATTCTTTCCAAATCAGCCAATGTGATTGTCTGGATTTATTTTCTCATTTTGTCTCTCATAGTTGAGGTCTACCTATGATGCCAATTACAGGCCTCTCTCATCTTTTTAAGTGGGAGAACTTGCACAATTGGTGGCTGACTAAATACTTTTTTGCCCCACTGTATATATAGAAAATTGATCAGTTGAGACGCTAAAATGCCAAGCGCTGGTATGACGTATGGCAGTGATCAGGATGCAGGTATGGTGTATGATGGTGATAATGACATTAGCATGAGGTATGGTGGTGATCAAGTCACTGGTATGACGGTGATCAGGATGTTGGTGTCAAGGTCCTACCTTTTCCCTGATGTTACTCCATGTGCTGGCGTCCATCTTGGATTTCTGCTGTGCATGGTGGGAATCCTTTTATGCCTTCAGGTCTCTGAGGTCCATCCCCCAGAGGGGTGTGGCTGATGACATATAAGCCTGTGGTCCGCACATGCTCTTTGCACTTGTGTCTTGTGTCTTTGTGTTGCTATTACTCTGTTCTGACTCTCGTGACTCTCCTGGTTTCTGATTCGGCTTGTTACTCGACTATTCTTTGTATTCTCCTTTGATCTGACCCTCTGTTGCTGAACCCGGCTCGTGACCTGTGATTCTCGTCTGCTGTCCTGTACTGTTTTGTCCTGTTGTTGTTGACCCGGCCTGTCTGACTACTCTTTTGTCTCTTCCACCAGCTACACGCCATTGGCGGCGGCCATTACCGCAGCCGGGGTGTCTTGGGGGCCGCGACCTGGTTCCTGGCTGCGTCAAGTCCATCCCCACCATCAGGGGCCCTGGTGAAGGGCAGCCTGGGACTTAGACTCCGCGCCCTGAGGGACTTCGGTCTGTGGGTGGTGGTTGTCGTCAGCCAGTGCGTTACACTGTTAGGCCTGCCTGTCCGTTCCTCGGCCCCTGCCCTGACATTTGGTATGGCGTATGGCGATGATCAGGATGCTGGTATGGGGTATGACGGTGATCAGGTCGTTAGCATGAGAAATGGCGGTGATCAAGTCGCTGATATGGCGGTGATTAGGATGCTGGTATAGCATATGGAATGATCAGGACACTGGTATGAGGTATGGCGATGATCAGGACATTGATATGGGGTATGGCGGTGATCAGAACACTGGTATGGGGGTGATCAAGACATTGATATGGGGCATGACAGTGGTCAGGATACTGGTATGGCATATGGCGGTGACCAGGATGCTGGTATGGGGTTGATCAGGATGCTGGTAGGGCATATGGAGGTGATCAGGGCACTGGTATGGGGTATGGTGGTGATCAGGACGCTAGTATGGCGGTGATAAGGACATTGGTATGGTGGTGTTATTGTGAGTGCTGGGACAGGGGCTGGCTGCATTATTTATTAGGACTGAAATGGGCAGTGATCAGGGACACAGGGGTGGCTGGCACAGCAGTCTGTGATTGTACATGCAGCCTAACATGCTATACACTCACAGGCTGCTGCATCGGTTCTCTCTGCTGTCACAGAGACAGCAGAGTGAACCAATCTTTACTTTAATTTTCTAGTGTTTACTATGTGATTGCTGTGATTGGACACAGAAAGCACATGTTAAAACACCATGTGATTGCCCAGACACAGCAGTAATGTGATCACTGGGCTCCTGGGTGCACACTGTGAGTCGCTCAGGAGCTGCTGATACGGGCTGATGTACAAGTAAGTTAGACCACATTGGCACAGCTTCCTGTCCACTGTCTATGGACTATGGGTGGACATGAAGCTGTTAAAGGCTAAGTTTTTTTTAGAAAACGGCCAATGCATTCAAGGGGCCCCTGCAGCTCTGGACAATGTTAGTTAATTTCATTGTCATATCTGCAGGCCATTTGGGCCCCCCTAGAAGCCTGTACAAAAGACTTCTCTACACCTTGCCTTGTTGCTAGGACCTGCTAGCACCTGAAAAGTATTGGGCACCCACTCCCAGCATTACAGGAGTGAAAACCAATGTTTTTCATGACCTAGCATAAAGGCATTTCTTCTGGGAGCTGTTTTGTCCATGCTTCGAGAAGGCCCAAAGGGGCTACAAGTATTACAACAAAATTAATCAACATTTACAAAGCTGCACAGTTTATAATATCTACTGGTGCCCCTTGAATGCATAGGTTATTTACTGGAAAAGGCAAACTTATCCTGTAAGTGCTCCAATTGATTTTGAGTTCCAAATCACTGCTTTATAAATGTCCAGTGTGACGAGAATGAGACCCGATGAACCTCAAACTAAGCTAAGAGGTGGGTAGTCATACTGAGCCTTTATTTTTACATTTTTATTCCTACTAATTCCTCAGAATGAACAGTGGGGATGTTGCTATGATTGTAAGAGTCATGAGGACCTGTGGGCACCTCCAGGATAGCAGTAATGCAAACAGTGGGTGTGGCCGAATTGGAGTCTACAATGCACAATATACTTGGGTCTGGTGTATGTACTGTGTAGGGTCAGGAGTACAACATAAAGAAAGTGTAGGGATCTGGGTTTTGTAACTTCCTAAAACATATGCTCCTCTCCCCTCACATTCCAGCCACTAGCAGAAATCTCCTACCCTCAAATTGCAACTCCTAATACAAATCCTCTAAACGCTGAGCTTAAATTATGCCTTTAACTGACCTAATGTGCATGGACTCATAGAATAACATTAGTAGCTTCTACAGGCAAAACGCTAAACTCCTCTAGGAGCAGCCTTTTTATTTAACTCATTCCACCTCCCCCCGCACAAATCCTCCCTTTAAGTCCTCCTCTTAGCATCAATCCCCCAGCAAACCCCCCGAACACAAATCCTACACCAATCCTTACTCCCCTCAGGTCATTCTGTTCCCCAGTAAAATTCCTCCTCCTCCCCTGAACTTACAGACCACCTCTTGTGAGCAGGGGCGGACTGACAACTCATGGGGCCCCCGGGCAATAGGGGATCATGGGGCCCCTGTGTCCTTGCCCAAACTCAAAAAAGCC